AGAGCACAACCTAGGAAAATCTGAGGGTCCAGCTACATCAAAGACTACTAAGAAGTTACAATAGGAAAATGGTAGTTAAGGAATCCCTCCACATGGGAAAATTTCACGACAAAGTCAAGACTGTATTATATGGATTATTAAACCTGTCTTAATTTTTATTAAGCAGTTTACTATATTGCCCCTGAAACAAAGTATAGACATAAAGGAACTCTACTGCACTGGGGTGTGAGGGACCTGCATCTAGAATTATATCCCATAGCCTTCATATTCTACAGGAAATGGACATGATTTTGAAATGTTTTCAAAATGAAGGAAGAAAGGAGAAACAAATAGACTTATTGAAAAAATATTATCATCATAGGCACAAGAGTTTGTTTTGGTTAAAATTTTAAATGATAACTAAAAATATACTGACCATTTTGCATTTTTAAATTTAAAATATTGTCAAATGGGAGAATAAAATACGTTCTTAAGAAAAGGGGAAACTTTTTAACTTTCTTATGTACAATTACATACTTGAAAAAATAAGAGCAAGCCCAGCCATTTCCTTCCAATTATTTTTAAAATATACACAATGGCCACTGGTAAATGAGTAGTGATTTTAGGATGTTTTATGTTCTCCTATTGTTTTGAAATTTGAACAAGTGTGTCTATTCTCCAGACTTTTACTGGATTTAAAATCACGTTGTGTAGCTAAACCTTAAAAAGATAATAACTATATTTTCTTGCTGTATGTATTGCTTAGGAAACAAATCTGAATACACACCATTCCATGTCATGAAAATTCAACACACTTGGGTGAGCTGGAGAGAGAAAAACTAAGGGAAAGACATATAACATTGAGTTTTAACATGGAATGTGTGTGTGTGTTTGTGTGTGTGTGTGTATGTGTGTAATTGTTTAAGCTCATAGGTAAAAGGTATTAAGACAGAGAAAGCAAAGTGTAACAAAGTATTATAGTATGAGTGGTACATCAAAAACTAAATACATTGAAAATAAATTTTAAAATGTGGATTTTTTTTTGGTGAACAATTACATGCAATAATTATAATTTTAAAAACCATACAACTTTAACTCTCTTTGATTGAAGTATTTTCACATTCTGCATTGCTTTACTGAATAGTAAGGAATTCAGAGTTTGGGATCTTGATGAGGATAAATTATATATGGAAGATTTAGTGCTAGTCAGAAAGTTACTAAAAGAGAAAATGGATATTGATGTGTCAAAAACGGCAATTACAATCAAAGTTGAATAAGTAAACCTTGTGTTTGTTAGTCTATTGTGCCAAAGTCAGGATTATTTCCAAATACGAAGTAAAAGTGTTTCTAGACAATATATTCTCTATTAATTATAGAATTTATAAGGAGCTTGAGGTGCAAATAATTGAGAATATCAATAAATGTCTTATATATCTGATGAGAGTTTTTGACTGCCTTCATGAGGGAACATATTCAATTTCATGACTTCTCTGGAGAACCCCACACTCTGTCTTTGAAGCAGTTCCTTAAAAATAAGTCTGGAGTAAATTTTGCCCCCAAAATCTGGAGCAAATTTTGCTGTTCAAGTTTTGAGATTAGGTGTTTTTTTTTGAACACCCCCTTTTCATTATTATCTGTGCTAGGTAAATTTACTTTAAAAACATCCACAAAAGCCATCTTGTCTACTTCTTCATGGAAATTAAATGGAACATAATAAACATAATATGAGTGAAGTCTTATTAATAGATTAATATATAGGTTCCAGCAATTTTGAATCTTATTAAGATATTTTAACCATTAGTTTTCCAAAGGGTTATGTTGAAATAATTGGATGATAAATGACCAGGCAAAGTTTGAGTTAGGATAATTGGACAGCAAGGTATTCAATTTAGAAGGGAAACAAGATGAATAGAACATTCTCCGTATTTGGCAGATGGGTTTATGGAGCTACTGATATGTATTGGTAAGTTAGAAATTTCCATAAAGACAACTGCAAAATAGCAATTTTCTTATTCATCCCCAACAATAAGAGATTGTTGACTATCACAATAATTCTTTTATAGGCATGAATACACATGTGATCAATACAGGCATTTATGATAAAAGGTTATCCAAAGTACTAGAAGCCTGTTTTCTAGTTTATCGAGATTTCATCTGGGCCCCTCTGCTATTAGCTTTTTATCTTCACTGGGTAGTCAACATTAATACATAATCTCCCCAAATTACTCTGCTTCACCTTGACTCCTCACTAATGTTCATGGACACTGGAAATCAAAAGCACCTGTTTAGGCATCTTTGGGAGAAATTATGGTGAAAGTTGTAAAAAACAGAGCTTAGAAAATCTTATTTTATAGGGACAGAAATCACATATACACCCATAGCTTAGTCTTCATTTCTAAGAGATAATCTGGCAGAGAGTTTGATTCCAGGGTCTTGTGAATTTTCCAACCCAAGCATATTTCTGCTTATCTAAGCAAGAGAAAGAACCGAAAAATGCCTATAATATCTAAACATTGCCAAGTGGGCCGATCACTAATTGATTTGATGTAATTGGCTTCCCATGAGGCAATAACTTTCATATTTGTCAAATTAAGCAAAAAATAAAGCCAACAAAATAATCAAACAACCAAATTTAGCATACACATTGACTATACACATGTATGTTTATATATGCATATGTATATGTGTGTGTGTACAGTCACAGCAGGAAACAATTATAACAGTGGAGACCTTAAGAAATGGATTTCTTCCTTTACGCTCACAACTTCTTTAAAAGGGACAGAAAGAAAAAAGAGGAAAAGATAAAGCTTATTTAAAGGCCTCATTTCCCATGTCACATTGGGATGCATTTAAATCTGAGAAGAGCCCAGAAACATTGTGCTGGTCTTTCCTGGATGAAGATTGAATTTCTGAAGACTAAAGTACAAACACAGTATAGACATGCTATCATTTGAATACACTGCACTGAATCTGTACAATTGAATAATAAAAATGTTTTCTTTATATATAAAATGTTTCCCAGATACTAAAAGATCAAATAAAAAAAATCCCACCCCTCTTGCTGTGTATTCCTAGGTATACTATGTACTCATTTGGGAAATGTTTCACAGCACTTGTCTCAGGGCAATATTTTCTGGTTTATGGGGCTGGATACAAAGGGACCACCATACCCCCTTACTTAGGGAGTCATGGTTCCGATAGCACCATAAAGCAGGACAGAGATGAATGACTGCTGCACACATTAAGCATATTCTGGTGGAGACCTGGTTCTTGACTTGGTTCTTGGAGACCTTAACTATAGTCACTATAGTCACCATTGTAGCTGTCATTCAATGCAGAAGCCAGTGAGCATTCCCTTGAAGTCTATTTGGCCCTTTTGTTCTCTTTTTGGTAGGTTTGATATGTCATTGTGATCAAAACAGATTGATATGTGAAGTCCTAAAAAAAGTACTGTTCCTCCTCCAGAGGACTTTTCTATTGCTACTTAGAAATTATGTAAGTCATTGGAGATATGATAGATTTACAAATATGTAGTCCTTAACCTATAGTAAGGTGGATATTGGACTAGTGTGAAGCAGAGAACACTGAATGTACATAGAAAATCAGGAAGAAAACTTGGATGCCAATTCTCCCACATTATTTATACTATATCTCATTAGGATAAAATTGGTCATATATTTTGAACAACAGTGTTCCAGAGCAGTCACTGCTAAACTAGAATAATATATGCTTCATAAAAAAAAAACACATACCAGAAAATGATTCAGTGTAAAAATTAATGGGTGACATTCACACACTAGTAAACAATGACTATGCAACTTATTTAATTACAAATCTCCAAATATCTTTTCATATAATAAAGACAAGAAGCATTAAGCAAAATCAAAGGTGTCTTGTAGAAATAAGCATTTCTCTGTAGGCACATCAGCTTGAAGGGCAAGGTACCGATGGCTCCAGGTGTTTGCTATGTGAGATCAACTTTGAAAGTCTTGTTGCTATCAGCACTTGTGAGCTGGTGCCCAAAGGTGTGCATTTTGAGCTTGGCCCCTTTCCCAGGAAAGCTTCATATTCTAAAAGGAGACAAATGCCCTCTGAAATTAACCAATAATATTTGTTTTTTTCTGGAGGATTCTGTCTTGACTACCAACTAGGAAGTAAGTATATCTCTAAACTTCACATTACATTGCCAGTGGATGTTCAGACTTCAGAAAACGCAGAGAGGTTCTTAATCTACTTTTAAAAGGTAAGGGGTTGGATCAGGACATAATTCTGACAATTTTGTCACAATAAATAAATATCTTGTCACAATAAATATAGTAAAACTGCAGTGAAGCACAGAGTATACAACCCCCTAATTTGGTAAATTCTGCATGAATTCTTTAGATAAAAGACAAGTAACATTTTAGTGTAAAAGAAAGCTCAGTGAGAAACAAGGTCGATTTCAGCAGAATTTTGAGACTTCCAGCTAAGGTTTGGTATTTATGATAAATTTCCACACAATAACATATTGGATACTCAATTTGTGGGGTTTTTCTAAACCCCTTCATTAAGATCTTTCTAAAATTTCCTCAAAGATATAATAATTTTAAATGAGAACTTAGATGAATTAGACATTAGAAAATTAAACTAATCTTTGAAGAGTCTAACAATATTGCCTCTAAATTCAAAACAACAAAACTATAATAGGACAATTAAGCAATACCACAAACCTTTAGTTAAATATAAAATGCATTTCTACCAAATTGTTTTCAACATTTGAAATCTTGAATTTCCACTAAACAGCACAGATAAGAATGTTCTTTTTTTCCTTTGCATGACATTGTGTCTATTGTTAAAAAATGTTCTTAAGGAGCAATTTGCAATGTATTTTCAACAGAAACAACTTAACCTCAAATAAGAACTGTGTATATTCAATGTTTGATTTAGAAAGAGTTACATTCCATTTCAATAAAAAGTGAATCTTCCACAGGAAATTTTAACCAAGGTTTTCCCAAATTGCAGTAAAAGAAATCTTTTATATACTTTCAAATACTGTGCCTTTTTATTTAAAACAGTGTAAACATAACAACTCAACACCACCAATAATTGGAAAACGACTGATTATGTGAACACTAATTTCCTTGAATGCCCCATGAAAGTAAATAAAACAGACAAATCTTCAGGAGTAGTTTCAGTTCACCTTAGCAGTGGTAAAAATATTGCTTTATTCCAAATGAACATACAACACAATTTACTGTTTTCTTGGGGGCTTCTTGTGAACTGAATAGTCTGGACTTTATGATTTCAACAATTTATTCTTTCCATATTAACCACAGAAGCCAATGTCTTGGTCCACACATAGTAGACTTGTTATAAAATAAATAATAATGGGATGATGAGAAAGCAAATGTTACTGTCAATTTGATAATTGGTTTGTATAAATAATTTAAGTTTGCATGATTCAAAATAAACACACATCCTCAACTTGCCTTGTGATACTGATATCATTAATGAGCCAATAGTTGTTCCTCTCAAAATATTCACATCAGAAAATGATCTAGACATTGTGAAGAATTATAGAACCCCACCATGCAAGTGACCTTGAGTTTAGATCTTACTAACTGAACTTTATACTTAATGGAAAACTTTAAAGTGGACAGATCTAAGAGGGAAATTTTTTTTCTGAATATTAGATTCCCTGATGTTTCAGAACAAATTTTAGCAAGCTTTATACACACACACATGCACACACACACGCACAAAGAACACATGTGCATACAGTTTACCAGTGCTCCAGCGAGCAAGCCCACACACACACACCCTCACACACACACATACGCACACAGGCACGCACCCACTGAGAAGCGCTCTGTCGGAGCCCTAAACGATCTCAAAGGAAAACATTTCTATTAGCATGATTCTAGTGACACAACATTGTGATTTTTTTTTGTCTCTTTTTCCTATAAGAATTCCATTCCTCCCTCTGAGATTCTGTGCCTTCAAATTTCAGAGGAAGGTGGCACAGAGAGTAGCTAAGATTTCCTCCCACACCTTCTCTACCTCCCGGCCTCCTCCTCCTCCTAGTGTCTTTGTGCCATTCTTCAAAAATTAAATAGAAAACACTACATTTGTTGACATGACACCACCTGTGATGAGGCTGTCAAGTGAATAGAAATTTAGGGGTTGGGACTGGCAAGCCAAATGGCAAGGGTTATCTCCTCACTGGCATGTCTACCTCAGGGTACAGCAGGACTCTTGGAAACTGGGTAAACACCGGTGCTTTTTTTATGAGGACACTGGTATCATGGGGCTGAGGGTCTGAATCGCCCACATTTTCTATGAGCCAAAGAGGTTGATGCTGGGACTAACTGAAATTGTATTCAGAATTCTACCCAAAAGCTTCAGTTGTAAGCTTTATCCCTCCTGAAACGTTTCTTTCCCTTTAAAAAAATATTTTGTTAAAAAACACTATGATATGAGGGCGATCGACTATTTGGTTTCTTCTAAGTAGATGCTCTTAAATTAATGCATATAAATAATTTGTATTTAATTTCCTCTCTTTCCTGTTGAGCAAAGCATAGAATGCACAGATTCCTCCATCTCAAGTCACTTGGTCAATGCAGAGTCTCTTTGTTTTTCATTTCTTAAGACAAATTGTGCCTCTCGTTCTGATTTGGCCGTGGGACTCAGGGGGAGAAAGGCCGTGTTTTCACTCGCACTGTCCTCAGTTTCTACGCTGGCCAGTTCATAGTCTTCTGACCGTCTGGCATCAGTCAGAATTCGGATCTGTTCCTGGACAGTTTCTAGCAATATTTTCACTTCTTGTTGTTCTGCTATAAGACAATCGCTGACTGGAATACTCACATTGACAATATCAGCAGAGTAGGAGTTTTTGCACCATTTGATGCTTGTGACTTCAGAAATCCCTGGCATTTGCATGCAGGTTTCTTCTAGACCCACTGAAGGGATGATGGGCACAGAACTGGCCCTTGTAGATGAATATCCCACCAGGTCCTTTTGATCCAAGCTATTAAAATAGGAGTTTGTCTCTCTTGAAGGCAGTTGCATATTTATTGATGCATTTTGTTGGGTTTTTAAACCACTGGATGCATACCTGAAAAAGAAACATTACATGGTCTGCTCTCTGCTGTGTTTCTCTCCAGCAATATTCAGTCCACAAAGCACTTTCACATGCACCATCTCACTGAATTCTCACAGCAACCCCATGAGACGGATAATATGTTCCCAATTAAACAGAGAAGGAAACTGAAGCTCAGATAGGTGAAGTGACTTGCCCAAGGTCACACAGAAAATAAGTGACAGACTGAGACTCAAACCCAGATCTTCTTACTTTAAGTCCAGGGATCTTTCAACACACCACAGCTGTATAGGCAGGTGGGATATAGTCTTCCTGACCTCTATCCTAGAATACAAAGTAAATGGGGATTGAGCAGGTAAGTGTGGCCTTTCCATAGTGACAAACAGGAAACCCATAATGGCATTACTCCACTCCATCAACTTGACCACCCTCTCAGCCCGGGTTTGTTTAGCATATTTGTTGTGGTCACTTTAGTTGGAGGCAATCAGAAGCCTGGTATTTTTCTGCTACACATTGATTTTAGAGGAACCAAATCCAATAATCATTGTCATTCTATTCTCTAGAGACTGCCTTAGGCTTTGCTGAGCCTGAGGATGGAATGGGAGGCATGGAATTCCTCTCCCTGCCCCAGGATGAACTTGAAGTGGGTTTCCTAGGGGCTCTACCAATCTAGCAACTTTCAACACTTGGCTTCTGGAGCTGAGGGTAGCTCATTGGTACATAGCAATGGCTTGCCAACTACGCCAACATGCTAGAATCTGGTTAGCTCTTTCTTGCCTATTCAGAGCTAAATGAATTTTCCAGTGTCTTTCAACTTTCCAGTATCAGAGAATTGGTGCATATATAATACAGATTCATAGAAATGTGGTTTCAGGCTTGAAAAGTAGCCTTTTTAAAAGTTTACAGTTATTCATCCTTAATTTAAATGTTAAAGATTAAAATTTAAACATAATATAAACATGTACCCTCCATATAATAAATGTCATTCCCCTTGTCTTACACTACAGTGTAAGCAACATTATGTTTATATGTTTAAAGAATAACTGCAAAGGAATGTATTGTATACTGAATAGAAGTCTTTATTGTCAGGACACGATCAGAGCAATTTAGAGATAGTTCTCTCCACCAGACAGTGAAAAAAGATGGGGAACAGCTTTAGATGTGGTTGAGCCCTATATTCTCTTACTATATCCAGAACAGAGTTAACAACAATAAATTTTGCCTCAAAGGGTGCATGGTTTTAAGAACAAATCTTCAAGGTAAACATTCCTTTTATATCCTAGCTACTATCTATTTCAAACATAATAACAACAAGTAACATTTTGCATACTACTACTTAAAAAGCACTTTCATTTCTAAAAACCTTATCAAATTAAAAAAGTTTCATTTATTATTATTTTCATGTAATGGATGAATAAATTGGACTTAGAGGTACTCAAATACCTTGCCAAAAATTATACTTTTGATAGTGAAAAAGAAAAAAGTTAAACCTAATTTATCTTATTTTAATCATTACTATCAAATTTGTGTTTCCCCAGAAGACTCTAAGACCATGTGCTTCCTGCATTAGAATGAACTGACTAAATTGAAGAACTGGACTTTTTCCTCTAGATCCAAAGAGTTAAAATGAGTGGGTATGGCGAGGTGCACTAGAAATCCTTTTTGGGGATGTATAATCTTGTGCAAATTGTACAGAGAAGTAAAAGGAAATTCCCAGAGAGGAGGGAAGTCCTTACTCCTTTCTCTTGAGTATTATATTGCTGAAAATCTGAAACCAAAGTTCTGATATATGAATCAATTTCAATAAGAGGAAAGGAGATATCTTTCAAGTTTTTGTGTTCTCAGCACCATTCTGTTAGAACCATTAATATGTAAAAGGGCACACAATGTTTGCTGTCAAGATTCACTAATGTTAGTCAGTGAATAGTGATCTTGACAATATTGTATTCCACATGGATATCATCAGGTTATATTAATGGGAAGAATCTGATAGGCTGAAATGTGATGGTGAAAGGTGCAAATTCTTATACCTGGATTTAGACATTATTTGTAAAAATGCTACATAAAAAGAATTTAGGCAATTGTAGATTCAAGTAGGGAACAATGTGACATGTATAAAAAGTAATCACAGGCAATTCAAGCCAAACTTGGAGCACTCTTCTAGCATGCCTAAGAGCTGAATTAATAAGGACTTAGATGAACAAAAAGGAACAGCAATTGACTTATACACCATCTCATAAGTCAGGTATGGGAAACATGACTGCAGGAATTGAAATCTGAAATGTTACCATAACATGAAAATGTGTTTTAAATAATTAAAGCTCTCTGATGTGCTTTTGTTTTGGATCAGACATGATTTTAAGTCCCAGTGCCACCGAGTACACTGGAATCTCCCACAAATGATAGCCTCACTTTAATTGTCTCATGGTTTGAATCTATCAGGTGGTAAATAATACCAGAGCAGGGGACTGCTCTGAGGACTAACCAGATGTCTCTGCACTATGTGGACAGAGTACACAGGTAGTCCTCAGGCAACTCTTAAAATGGCTGAGTTTTCCAACATTAGCATTTGAATAGAAGCAGATACTACTCTCCAGAAGTTTAAGTGAGAGCAAATTTCTAGATGTGCTTCTGGATTACAAGATGCTCAGAGTTCAGCATCCCACGAGAGTGACAATTCTTTCACAAATTTGACTCACAGCTAATTATTCATTGAGTCATTGGCAGTATGGACTGCCTTTCCTTTGGTCGCTCAACAAAGAAATCACAAGCACATTTTCTCTGTAACTAAGTGTGTGAAAGCATCCTTTAAAGATAAAAGACTCCAGTAATTAGTCACTTGTTCTGGTTCCCAGTATTACAGGAATCAGGCCAAGGAAGTTGTGTTATCCCAGGGGACGCCAAAATCCAGTCCCTGCTAGACATGGCACTAGAGTGAACTGACTACATTGAAGGGGTCCATTTTCCCCTCTGGAGTCACACAATTAGAGATTCCATTTATACATTATCCTCCATGAATGCGATTTTTTTTTTTTGACACTCTTTTTCTGGTATTGGTGGTTTATTTAGTCCGAAACGTGAGTATTCATTCCTAGCTCTTTTAAATGGATTTTGCTAACTTGGGTTATCCTTAGTGTATTCAGCTATAAAATTCCTGAAGAATGGCTGAAGTGAAGTATGTAAAATTTCTTGCTAAGTGAGGAAGGTACTCGCTATTAGTCTAGATCCCTTCTACTTCGAAAGTGTCAGTAGAACATCGGTGATTTCATTTCTCTCTACTTAGCATGTGAACGTTAGCTTGATTTGCCTGACACAATCCGGTTCAAAGCTCTATGAGCCACTGCCATGCTCATCACTCATCCACCAGTCATGGAAAGGCTCCCAAAGAATCTCCTGTCCACCTCTCTACTTCCTGAAACTTCACTAACAGAGGTGGTGGGTTCAATCTGGGTTGAAGTTTGTGCAGAGGAGATAGGTCACATACACTGGGGACATAACTAGTAGACAGTGCCCACAAGCTTGATAAACAAGCAGCAGATGGCTGATGGCTCTTACAAATTCATTCACTAATCCTCCAGGCAAGGGCCAGATTTGAAGAGGACCTTTAGTTGCTAAATTCTATTACCAATCCCATTTCCAATCCAGAGAGACAGTCAGTCCCCCAGGAGTAGAAAATAGCTGTTTTCAAGAACTGAGAACGAGCTTGCTCCCTGAGATTCATTGTGCTGAGCACATAGCAACTTATACTTAGATCATCGTCTATCAACATTGGGTACATATCACACACTGCAAAATATATATTGGTCAGCCAGCTGGAGAGAATATTCCAAACCCAATGATGATTGAACCAAAACAAAACCACCACCACACAGACAATAAGTGTGTCTTTCAGCAGGTAACAGACAAGGCAGTGCCTGAACATGCACAGGGAAGATTTGTGTGTAAATGGTTCAACCAAGCTTGTCCTAGCACAGGTTCAGAACATCCTTACTACTGGGACATACGGAGTGATAGCAATAATAGTGTCTAACAGAAAAAAGACAGCAAACACTGGGTTCTCTTTCTCTTCAGAAAATCTCTGAATTTAATTTTTTTTTAAAGATTTATTTTATTTATATAGGAACAAGGGTACAGGCCCGATATGCGGGAGGGTGAGTGGATTCACCAGAGACAGAGTGGGGAACAGAACAGGCAGACTGATGAAATACACTGCCAAAGAGAGCAGTGGGAGAGACAGGAGAGGTCTGCTCGCCATGTGGGTTGCTCCGAGGCTGTCGGGGATCGAACCAGCACTGTAGAGGCTGCAGACAGCTTCACAGCGCTGCGCTCTACCGCCTGCGCCACCAGGGAGGCCCTCTGAATTTAATTTCACCTCAATTATTCTCATTCTCACATTCACCCCAGGAAAGAATATATATGTGTACATAAGGATAAATATACACACATATATACATATAATCATATACTATGTATATTCCAAATGGCAGATATTATTAATGATTTTGAAAGAAAAGTAATGATGAGATATGATTAATTATAACTATAAGCTAAATGGAAGTTCCTCTTTTAAATTAAGGCAAAAAGAAATTTCAAATGCATTGTACATTTGGACAATCTGACTATTATGTGGAATCTGCAACTGTCACCCCCAGAGCTGTACCAAATACATTTTATAGTCCATTTGGAATTGCTTCAAAATTACAAAACTCAGCCACAGGCTATTTATTTCATATTTTCTAGACCTCCTAAAGAAATGTATTCCTGAGTTTTTTCAATCAGCCCATCACTAGAGATAGCTGCTTTGGCCTAAGCTCGATACAGACAGTATGCAGCAAAATCATCCAGGCCAAAGCAGCACAGACACACGGACTGGCTCAACTAGAGAGATTAAAAACTAGATGATACAATAACCTAGTTTGAGTGAGGGAAAGGATTCCTGAAATGCTTGCAGTAAACCCTAAAACCCTAATTGCATTATTTTAGAAATTAGTGAAAATACTATAACAGTTGCTGTGCCAATAAATATCAGTATGACTTCTCTGCTTACTCTATGTCAGGGACAATTTCTTTACGCATATATGTTTTTTAAATGTGCCCAACAATCCTCAGGAAAGCTGGTATTATTTTGCTTGAATTAGAGATGGGAAGACATAAGCTCAGATGATAAAACATTCTCAAATTCACACAATTAATAAGGGCCAAAGACGAGATCTGAACTCTAGTCTACTTAAGGAAAGGCTACTGTGTAGGCTTGGACAGTTTATGGCAGACAAGGGAATGGCAGCTAAAATTCAACCTACACTCCATTCACCACGCTATGAACTCTGTGAGGATCTGTGTCCACTCAGAGGAAGGAATACCTTTTGCACCGAAAGGACAAATGGCAGCCATGACATCCAAAGTCCATCTTTCCACCTCTGAATGAACATAAAGATCTGAATTCAGGAAGTTGTAATCTGGCAATATGCTGCCAACATTGAACTGAGACATGTTTATGAATGCTATAGGGACGCAGATTGTATATATACACATATATATGTGTGTGCATATATATGCAAATATATACCATAGTTTAGTATTTAGGGCATTATCTATAATATTGATTAGAATATTCACTAACTTTTTTTAATTTTATATATATTTTTACATCATTTTTCATTTTTGCACAATATATGCATTTTCATCTTGGTTATATACCCATACAACTCCCACTCCTCTTATTTTGACCCTAATCCTTCCTCCCCTGATCCCCCCATAGTGTGTCTCTGGTTTATAGTTGCTTGTTGATTTTGATTTTTACTTTATTATAATTAGTCTTTTTCTTGGTCCCTTATTTAGGTTTTAAGCCAGAAAAAAAAAGAAAAATACCAGATGGTCTCACTCATATTTACTAACTTTTTTTTCAAACATAAGTACAAAGGAACACTTTAGTCCTCCAAAGAAGTCTCTGTCTTTTTTTTAAATCAAAGACAAATTCCCAGTTGTTTTACAAACTATGTGATAATACACTGCCTAAATATCTCTATACTTAGTTTCCTCCTATTGTTACAGTTCTTCTCTATTTTAGTTTCCTCCTATTGTTACAGTTCTTCTCTATTTAACATTTCCCTACTATCTATTTCCATTGTACCTATTCTTTAAAGTTAGTTTACCTTTACTGTGTGTGGAACGAAGATGTAAGCAAGCACATTAGCTAATTAATGATTAAATCAATAACAAGAACCCCAAAGAACATAATAATCTAAAGCCTTAGCATTAAGGACACCCTTCCAAAATTCTGTTGCTTTTAAGACCTACCCTTGGCAAGGTAATGTATCCTGGTCTGGGATCCTTGATTCTTCAAGTTGCTGATATGCTGGTCCTACAATTCCACCCAGCCTACTTCGGGGTGAGGGGGGTGTCCTTCTGAAGGCATTTCTGTGGAGCATACCACTCCTTTGCCCTGGGCTGCAGCAAGAGGAGAGACTCCTGCTAGAGTAAAAGAAAACCAACAAACAGATTGATCATAGCAATAACCTCAGAGGAGGGGCTCAGACTTCTCAAAAACTGCATTTTACCCCAGGACCCTGTAGTTCAAAGCCAGATTCCATCCATTGCAACATATCTGTTAGGAGGACATGAGAAGTTGCCCGACTCATTTTACCCTTGCAGATGCTGAAGGAAGAAATGTTTCTTTGTTTCTGACTTTCCAGTCTGGAACATAATGGACTAAAATAGTTGTACCTTTCCAGCCAAAGACAAGAGGTAGGTTTAAAGAATTCTCAAACTTTGATTCCTATCCAGCCTCATTATCCAGGCTGTCTCTCTAGTAGAAGTAAAAATGGTCTTGCTATTAGACACCTGACAAGAACTAAACACAGGAAGCCCTGAAAGGATATACAGGGAAAATTTCATTGTGTAACTCATAGAGTAAAGCTACTTTCATGTGTCATATGTTTCACTAAACATATATGTTAAGGCATCCTGCTTTCAACATATATGTTAAATTACTATGTTTATGACATTAAATTTTCATGTATCTTGAGAAACTAAAATATTTTTCTCTTGGATTTGCTTTTAATAAATAACTCATTATATATTTCATGTTGACTCATACATCCCAATACCCAAATAGCCATATGTTTTCAGATGCTATTAAAGGTCAAAAGGCATCAATGGGATATACTTTAGGTAGATCCTCAATGTAGGTCACTTTAAACAAGAGAACTAGATTCAATGAAAATCAACTTTTAAAAAAAAAGTTTTTTTTTTTAACTTGTCTTCACTCCTTATACTACTGTCATATGCACTGGTGAGAACTTTGCTCCTGTATAGAATTTCATGAAATGCTGGTTTATATGGTTAAAGTGATTCTGCAGTGTTCATGTAATAAGTGAACTTAGAATTGCGTGCTTCATTCTATTTGATTCTGAAAATATAAATAAAATCATATATAGAAAGATAAAAACATTTTTTGATTTTCAATCAACCTGTAAGTATTAATGGGACCAGTCTCCCAAGGGAATTTTACCTATATCACTATATTATTTGGAGTTCTGTAACTTTTCTCCCACCAATGTTATGATTATTTCAACTAATAAATGCAAAACAAATCTCAAATATTATTTAAGCTCAGACCTTAAGAACCTGATATTTGAGTTCTAGTCAACCACTTTCCTGGGTTGTCAAGGTGACTGATTCAACTCCATATTCCTCAAGTGTACATTATACTGAGTTGTGCAAACACCCGATCATATTACTACACATTGAAACACCTTCATTCTTTACCATGATAGTACTTGTGCACTGAGTTCCCTAATGCCTAGCAAGGAACCTCTAGCTGGGTCACTTAGCCAAAACAATGGCTCATGTGCTTCCCTCCTCCTCAGCTTCTATTCATACCAGTGATGTTTCTGGGATTCATAGTGTACTAAGGGGTGAGTGTTAGAGTTAGCTGCCTCTAAGTATGCACCTTGGGCCTACATGTTACTACAAACATGATACTGGGAGAGGTGCATGTCACAGAGTTCCAGAAGGAGTTCTTACTCTTTATAAAGTTCTGTTCATTGTTTAAAGGAACAAAAAGAGCTCCACAGATACCACTCTAACATAGTAACAACAGGACAGTTCTACTATCTCTGTAACTGAAGGAACAAGGGAAAGAAACAATTACCAGAACAGAGAGAGAGAGGGAGTTAAAAGGAGATGACCACTTGGCAGGCACTGTGATGCAGGAAGAGGGACATAGATGAAGCAACCAAGCAGGGAGAGAGGGGGCAGAAATGTCTGCACCTCACTCTCCTTCCATCTTTTCACTTCTTGCTGGTGCCTTATATTGAACTAACAGAAGCCAAAAGACAGGGCAGCTTGCTGGCCACTTAGTGCACAGGGCAAGACAGAAAGGTTAAGATTAAACTTGGGTCAGGGAGGTGCAGAGAAAAGTATTAGCATCATGCTGACATGTTTTCAGAGTTGCTATGGGAGTTAAAAAAGATAAAATGTGCAAAGAGTCCAGCATGGAGGCTGGCACATAGTAGGTACAAATTATTGCTCCCTGTTCCATTTCCACAACTGATGACTGAAAGGATCATGCCGATCATTGAAACCTGGATTTAAGTGGTGAACTAGTGTAGTATATACACATGTCAATTTTCAATAATGCACATCTGAAACTTATATAATGTTATAACGCAATATTTCTTCAAAATCTACATATGCTATCAATAAGTTATGTTGCCAGAGTATAATGTAGAAAATGTGACATGACATAATAGAGATTTCTTCTTTAAAAAGGAAGAACTTTTTTATATTTTGGACTAAACTTGAAAAATAATGACTTTGAATTAATAGCTTTGTTTCATTAATGATTTATTTAAATGAGCCATATTTGCATTGCACAAAATACTAATTATTCATAGCTACCAAACTGTCACAACAAAGTCTACTAGTAAGAACTAGTGACCCATCTTTAAAAATATCTGTGTACCTATGGATCAATCAACTATTCAAGCTTTCTGACCCAGTGGCATTCAGGAAGATATGGAGTAGTTTGCAGGACACATAAATCAGTGACCAGGTTATTAATCATGAAAACATTTAAGTCTACTGCATGTTTTACAAAACAAAAACCATGATATATTAAACTATAATTTACAGGCTCTAAAAGTACTTTATAAATCAACACTTGCCTATCTATCAGGACCCAATGTATGTCAACAAAAACTGCAATATCATTAAACTGAACAAAAAGGAAGGTCTCTTAAAGACATCCTTATTTAACCTAGAGTGATTCATAGAAACCAAAGAAGCTACATTTAGGAGGGGGTATATAAACAGATAAGGAGTAGTGTAGGAGGTTTGCATCTTAAATATATTAAAGGTTGTCATTTTTCAGCTTGACTTTAAAATATCTGATGTAATATAGTACTAAAGTAACATTATTCTGAATTATTTTACTTGACAGGATGGAATACCACTTCTAACACATTTGTGTTAAAATGAGCAGGGAAAAATACCATTTTAGAGAAAATATCCATCTTCTAAAAGGCTGGTAATTTTGGCTTAATTCTCTAATCAGAGAACTTCCATTAGGTCTAGTGAACTGAAATGATCTTTTCATAGGGAAATATCTATAAGTGCCTCAATTGACATAAACCAAAATTGATAGTTAATAATTAAAACAATCATAAAATAACCAAAAATATTTTAATCCTGAGTTTAGGACATTTAAGTCATTAAAAAAAAAAACTTAGCAAATCATTGGTATCTCAATCATACTCACGTAGAGTAAGAATAAAAATCATCAGCAGTACTGAAGATTAGTTTCAAACATGACTGAAATCTCACAGTGCATGTGACCATCATCAATTAAATCCTTTTTTTGAGGACTCATTGAGAAGAAAAGAACTGGATAGTTTCTTTGTACATACATATTTCTGTCACAGGGTTTTGCAAAGTGTTGCTTAAATATGACTAAGGGTCAACATTTACCATTTTTTGCTGGGACAACTATTATTTTTAATGTTTTCTTTTTTAAAAATAGAAACTTTACATGCTTAAATTTTTTAAATATGCCCTACTATAAATTTTAAGAAAGGTGCTTAAATCTTTGGACAATTTCTATACAGATTTAGAATTTACATCCTGATACACATTAACATATTGTCTGTTCTAGCATTAGTCCCAAACTTTGGCCCTTGGCTCAGAACAAATACCTTCAATTTTTAGAGTTCTAGATTCTTTATATATAAAACATAGTGCATGCACTAGAAGATGCGAAGGAAATCTGTTCAATTTTTGGATGTCATGACATGTTTAAGATAACTTTACTTTTTGGCTTCCCAAAGCCCATTTCTATGGTCAACTTGTAAAAAATGAACCATCCCATCGACAAAAGAAGATTTTATACATCCACAAATGTCTGCCAGACTTTTTCCCCTGGAAAGTTTTATTTGTGTGAGAACCATGTTGCAATACCTGGAGCGTGTCACTTTTGCTGCCTAGGGAAGGATTAGTCATTAACTTAGCAGACAGTGATAAGGCAGGCTAGGAAAACTCATGTTTTTAATAGTTTTCAGAATGCAATTGTTTCATTCACTGGTCTGTGTCTGCAGCTTTGATGGGTGTCATTAATAGTTGCTTTAGGCTTCTTATAGGGGCATTGCTGCCTGCTGTTACTGACTGACCTGCTGTGAGCTGCTTGAGCATTTACTTCAACAAGAACTACAGAAAGAGCAAGTAATGTTGCCATTCCTGCACATGTTGTCCAGACTTGTACATAGAATGAACACACCCATTCCCACCATGATCAGCTACCTGTACCTGTGGTGTTTGACAGATTGGCTTCCTCTGTCAGGAGAAGGGACCTCTGGGAATGACTGGGGGCCAGCAAAACTTGACTCCATCATTTTCTCCAATGCAGTCACAGGATGCCTTTCCGCCCTTGAATACTGTGAGAAATCAACATGCACAGAGTTGAGCTGAGAATAGATTATGTGAGGAGGGACTATAACAGTCCAGCTAAGTATCAAAAAGTTACTGGAATTTGCCAGTAACTTTTCAACTAGGCACCTGATCAGGAGAATGATAAAGATATCATTTGCATCCTATTTCTTACACACTGAAATTGCCTCCCTGCCAACATTCTCTGTGATAGATAATGTTCATTCAGGAGAGCTTTCTTTAGAATCCTGAGTCTGTGTTCTCCTTTCAGGCTATACTCCTGGCACACTAAGCCTAAGAGCCAAAAACCACTTATAAGAATGGTTTATTTAATATACATTTAAAAAACTGAATTAGAATTCAGATTACTGAAAATAGGGGCTCAACAGAACCCCTATTATTGGGTGAATAAACCTCACAACACTCTCAGAATTATGGAGGGCATGGACACAGACTATCTGCCCAACATTTCCACTGCTTCTCCTTTCAACCTGTTATCAGGCCATTACCACATCTAAAAAGAGCAATTTGTAAGCATTTCACTCTTTGTAGTTATTAGCCCTTGGCTTCTCCTCTGACTGATCTCTCATAAGGCACAGAAGCCGGAAGAAAATCTATAGAGATGACACATTAAGAAAAACTTTGTCCCCAGGGAAATAATCTGGCTTCATAACCGGTCAGCAAGTTATCAAGTTAACACTCCCTGGATACTTGACACTTGAATAGGTAGCAAGGGGTAGCAGGTTTCTTGTTTAGAAACTGGAGATGAAAATTACCATGAGAAATGATATTTTTAGAATGTTAACCAACCTGCAGGATTTGAAACATGGATATTCACATTTAATTTGTGAAAAGAATTTCACAGAAAATACAAAGACAGATATGCAATATAAATATGAGGTGTAAAACAGCATTCATTTCAAATGAAAAAAATCAGAATGGAAAAAATTAAATATCAAGCATATACACTAAAGGCAAAGATTTGGGAAAAGTAGCATTGGTGCTGATTTGTTGGGGGTGCAAATGGACAATATAAAGCAAAAGGCTAACTATATAAACTCTTTGATGCTGAATACTACTTCCAGGAATTTCCATCTTTACTATGTTTGCAGAATTCTAAAATCATTTAAGAACCAGAGTATGCCAGCAGTACAAAGGTTAAGAACAAAACAGAAATCAAAAACAAAGTGGAAACAATGGGCCACAACAGAAATGAATACTACAAAGTTATTGAAAGGTATAAAAAAAAGCAAAGTGCAAAATGGCATGCATAGGTGACTCCATTTTTTTAAATAAGGGTAGTATATTGATCAGGTATACATATATTGCATGTTCATGTATGTTTGTACATACATACATGTTTATTTCTGTGTTCACACACATGTATACATGTATATATACACCTTGTATGTACATATACACACAAATTTGAGTGTGTATGTGTACATGCATTATGCAATTACACAGGATGCAGATTGAAAACAAGTAAACTATTAATGATTAATTAGTTGTTATCTTTGGGGAAAAAGTATATCAGTAGACACAGGATATGGTGACTAGGGAAAATGTCAAAGCTTTGTAACATTAAGTTCAAAATATCAAGTTAAATGTCTTCTTTTTAAGTACTTCCAAAATAAAGCACATAGTGGCAATAATGACTTCACTCAGAATCTGAATTATACAAAATGGATTTAACAGAAGCTGGTCTATAAATGGATTTCTTGTAAAATGGACAAAGTTGACAAAGTAAGAAAAGTATACATGGACATGATCTGGAAAAAAGGGCTTCTTTGGACAACCCAAAATATCAAAGATCCAAAATAAGATGTAAATAATATCTTCATGTAAATAATACCTTCATGGGTATGTCTTTATTGATAATTAAAGTTGTTTATTACAGGGCCTCCCCTGTGGCGCAGCGGTTGAGCGCTGGGTTGAGAAGCTGCCCGCAGCCTCTGCAGCACTGGTTCGATCCCCGGCTTCTCCCTGGCCACCAGAGGAGGGTCCCGCATGGCACGCAGACCTCTACTGCTGCCCGCTGCTCCCCTCAGCAGTGTACTTCGGTCCTTCTACCTGCTCTGCAACCCGCTCTGGCTCTGGTGAATTTTCTCACCCTCCCGCGCTTCTGACTGTACCCAGTGCTTGTATGTATGTATGTATCAATCAATCAATCAATCAATCTTAAGCTTCCATATGATCCAGCAATTCCAATCCTAGGTATTTACCCAAAGGACACAGAAACATCAATTCCAAAGAACACCTGCACCCCTATGTTTATAGCAGCTCTATTTACAATAGCTAAGCTTTGGAAACAGCACAAATGCCCAAAAATAGATGACTGGATCAAGAAGATGTGGTAGATATATACCATGGAATATTATTCAGCATTCAAAAAAGATAAACACATGCAATTTGCAGCAACATGGATGGTGCTGGAAGGGATCATGCTCAGCAAAATAAGCCAGAAAGAAAAAGAAAAATACCGGATGGTCTCACTCATAGCAGGAATCTAGAAAACTTAAATAAGGGACCAGGAAAATGAATAACTATAAGAAATTGAAAATCAAAATCAACAAAAAACTATGAACCAGAGACACTTTTTGGGGGGTGGGGGGCGGGAGGGGAGGAATTGGGGTCAGAATGGGGGGGTTGCAATTGTATGGGGAATATAAAAATAAAATTTATTATTTAAAAAAAAAGTTGTTTTTTACAAACCATTCATGGAAGATTGGAAGATTTAACTGAATGGACATGTTCCTGAAATGTTATCAACGTCAGTCCTATTAGGGCATCCTCTCTTCCCCAAAGTCTAAGAAATTGGTTTGGAAATCAAACTCAGATGCCTAGAAGCAGGATGCCAGAAGCAAGTGAGATGTTCTGAGGAATCTCTTTGTAAATTGGAGAAGGCACACTTCTGCTCTGATCCTGCAGAGGGCTATCAGGGTCAATGGCCAAGTGTTTTGGAACATCCAGATTCCTAGAGAAATCACCAACTCATTAAAAGTCAGCAATCCACTCACTATTTTCTAAACAATGTATGTTTAAAAAGTTGAATGTAAATTTTGGACCATTAGTTCAGAGTTTCTGGCTTGAATGAAACTTTTGATGCTGAGAGCTAAAATTCTGGAAAAGTCTTGAATAAAATCAGCCTTTTACTTCTGCTATTCATAACATGCATAACAGATAATGATTTCTAAATCTTGTTTTTCGATTATTCCAATTATTGTTATATATCATTGCTGTCAATTGTACTATTATGGTCAATTTAATTGTTTCCCCAGTTTATTGTTCTGGAACTTTTTCTTTCAGTCAGCTTTTGTGAGAATCATTTTCATGTCAGTGACTGCAATATATCTTGAGATTCAGGTTTAACTTGCTGGGAATCCTATACAGGGTTGGTTGAGACAAGTAGGAACACTGAAAAAAAAAATGAAGAAAAAGCTATGCGAATGGCCAACAGGCATATGAAAAAATGTTCAACATCACTTGAAATCAGGGAAATGCAAATCAAAACTACCATGAGATACCATCTTACACCAGTGAGAATGGCACATATTAAAAAAACTAGCAACAACAAATGTTGGCGAGGTTGTGGAGAAAAAGGAACTCTTCTGCACTGTTGGTGGGAGTGCAAACTGGTCCAACCACTATGGAGAGCTGTGTGGAGATTTCTGGACCTACTAAACATAGAGCTTCCACAGGATCCAGCAATTCCACTCCTAGGTATTTACCCAATGAACACAGAAACATCAATTCCAAAGAACACCTGCACCCCTATGTTTATAGCAGCACTGTTTACAATAGCTAAGCTTTGGAAACAGCCCAAATGCCCAAAAATAGATGACTGGATCAAGAAGATGTGGTACATATATACCATGGAATATTACTCAGCATTCAAAAAAGATAAACACATGCAATTTGCAGCAACATGGATGACGCTGGAAGGGATCATGCTCAGTGAAATAAGCCAAAAAGAAAAAGAAAAATACCGGATGGTCTCACTCATAGCAGGGATCTAGAAAACTTAAATAAGGGACCAGAAAAATGAATAACTATAAGAAAGTGAAAATCAAAATCAACAAAAACTATGAACCAGAGACACTTTTTGGGGGTTGGGGGGCGGGAGGGGAGGGATTGGGGTCAGAATGGGGGGATTGCAATTGTATGGGGAATATAAAAATAAAATTTATTAATTAAAAAAAAAAGAAAAAAAGAAAAAGCTAATCCTTCAAATTAACATTCTACACATATTGGTTCAAAATGATTTTAGAGACAATTTTCAGTTCTGACAAATAAAAAGCTGGAAAAGTTTCATTCCTGCCCTTTAAATAAGAAAACTGACACATAATGATTGTTCTTATATCCATCAGACAATTGAGGCTGCCAGGAAAACCATCATCCTGCAAGTTGGAGCAACAGAAGAATACAGAGAATCATAGCCAGGACCCTCTTATCTGCAGTAGAATCAGCAGGAACCATAAGTTGGTAGGAATGCTTATGTCATAATTTGAATAAATTGTTGGAAACTGTTTGTGGACTAGAGTGAGAGTAAGAGTCATCTGGGAGCTAGAGAATATTCCCACACTTTCATGCATTGGATCTTCAGGAAGCACAACAAAGCCTCAGAACAAAAGGCCAAAAATATCATCCTATATCTTTATCATGGGAAGGAGAAACTTTATCAGAGCCTGAGGGAGATTTCCCGTGATGCCAATTCCCTGATTCCAGTCTTCCTGTCTCAAACAAGGAAGAAAAGAAAGAAAGAAAGAAAGAAACATTTGTGAAGGTTAGTACCCAGGAATTTAGGTTCACTAAAGATTGCAAGAGGTTGTAGAGTTATAAGGTCATAGAACCACCACCTTAACACCACACCAACAGGGCTCCTAAGTAAAGAGTAGACAGCAAGCAAGAACAGATGGTTACTGTAAGTAGAGAGATGCTAAGAAATATTTTAAAGTAAATGCTGGGATATAAAGATACTGTAGCAGAAATGATGGCTGCACTTGAT